GTGAAAATGTCTTTGTTATTTACTCCTCCACTCCCATAGCCACATTATACCACAAATATAAAGATATTTAATGATAATTGGTGAATTAAATGAAAGAATCAAGTTAGTGGCCTAGCATTTTAGAGTAGGGAGTGGAGCTTGAACTCTGGAGGGAGGATGGTCAGATGTTATTGCATATTTCTTTTTAGGTGGAAATTTTACATTGTACATATATTTAAAAATTAAAACAAAAACCGGTTAATAAAATAAATTTAAAATTTAAAAAATGGGAATTAAAGTGTTTAAAGGAATTTTTAAATTTTTTCTTTTTCTCTAATTTATTTTGCTGTATTACATAACAGCAATCTTACATTCATTGATGATGGATCTAGAGTGGCAAAATTTAAAATTCCCTTAAGAGGTAAATTCTTGGACACATATGCTTTGTGTTGTATGTTTACATTTGTCTAGAAACCTACTGTTACTGAAAGGTAGGTTAAAAAAGCCCTTTAGCACTGTTTCAAGTTTGTCATAATGTAACAGATTCTTTGAAAAAATACAGTGTATTTTTCATAATGTTACTTATGCTGTATGGATAAAAGCTACATAGATGTATCTGCCTTACCACTGTAACCTACATGTACAAGTTAAATAAAAAGACAACTACAAAACCCCAAATCCATATTGATACAGTTATTTAGTGTAACAGATGATGTTTAGGTGGGGGAGGTGAGCCTTAGGTCTGATTATATTTGAAATGCTTCAGTATTTCAATTTTACTGATAGCAAAAGCTGCAAGTGCCTATTCATATCAGTTTTGGACAAAATAGTCTTAAAGATCTCAGGGTAAGTTCAGGATAATCAGACCTAATACCTACCAAAATATTTGCCAGAAAGAATTCCTCAAATTGCGGTGTAATGCGATGTTAGTTTTGTTCATGGGAATAGGTTAACATTATTCTGTTATTCAAATCTTCATTAAATAGTTTTCTAAACCAATTATTGCTAGAAGTGAGAATGAAAAAAAAAATGTTATCACATACTTTAAAAACTCATATTGATATAGGGGAATGAAACTGCCAACCTGAAAGATACCTGTGATGAGTTCGTGTTCTCCAAAACCGAAGAATGAATTTTAGAAAAAGCAGAATGTTTATTGGGGGAAAATGAGCTTCTGTCCGAGAGAGGGACAGAAAGGGTCCAAGAGAGGGACAGAAAGGGCCCAAGTGGGTTGCTCAGAAATCTGCCTTTTCTGGGGACCATGTGGTGAGGTGGGCCTAAGGTGGAAAACATGGGAACTCGCACATGAAGTGGGACAATATGACTACAAGTACAGTTGCTCTGGTAAAATTGATTAAATCCAGGACCAATTGGGAAATGAATCACATAGCAAGCAGGCATGAATATAGAATGGGGGCTTATCCTGTAGGGGGTTGGGTTAGTGACTCTTCCTGGCTTCCTCAAGGTTATTATTAATCACAGGTGCTTATCTTTAGGGAGGTGTGCACTTGTTTGATCTTTGGTCTTGAGATCTGGCTCAAAGCAGGAGTGTCTGTCTCTCCTACAGTTGCAAGGTCTTGTCTAACATATTGTTTCCTTGAGGGCCTAACCCTGTCTGACTGCCTATAATATTTCTATCAGATTCAGCTATCTACAACAACATTTTCTACTAATGAACTTTGGCAAATTGTACTACAAAGATAGAGTTCATGTTAGACTTGTGTATATTATAGTGCTTATGTGGTATTGGCTGTTTGGCTGTTGCCTTTTAATATACCATGCTGCCTCCTCTTCCTCCTCTTCCTCCTCCTCCTCCTCCTCCCCCCCTCCTCCCCCTTCCCCTTCACCCCCTCACCCCTCACCCTGATTCAACTTGCAAGGCAGTTGCTTAAGCCAATGAGCTATCTCCCTTGCCCTGACCTCAATTTTTTTTTTTTTTCTTTTTTCCTCTGGCCTCATATATGAAGCAGTCCTCCTGCATGAACTTCAAGTGTTGGGATTACAGGTGTGCAGCACTATGCCCATCTGAAATGAAAATATTTATAAAATTTGCGTACAACTCTTAGGTTCTTCTTCCTTTCCTAGTATGGCCTTCTATATAGACAACGTTGTTAGCAAATACTTTCAGGGCTCTATGCAGGGATTCTGAATTAAAAGACATGAAAAAGAGAACAAGGCCCTTCTTAAGGTAATAAGTGACACTTAAGCCACAAATTATAGATTGATTTGCACTTACCCTCAGGGCATGGAGAGAGGAATGTGGGAGGATATTGAAAAGAGCTACAAGTTACCTGAAGGGGAGAGAATTAGAGCACATGTAGAGAGAGAGAAGACCTTGCTTAATATTTTAAAGATTGAGAAGCAGAAGAGATGGTGGGCAGAGAGAGAATATATATGAAGACCAAAGCCATGAAAGACATCATCATCATAATGACAGATTTTGGTCCTAGTAAGTCTTAATTGATAGGCCAAATGTTTAGACATCTCATGCATACTAGGGCAATCATGATGCCCTTAGAAGTGGGAGAGTAAGGGCTGGAGAGATAGCTCAGCAGCATAAGTGCCTGCCTGGCAAGTGCAAAGTCCTGAGTTTGACCCGCAGTAAAAAAAGAAGTGGCAGAATATTCATAGAAGCATGTTTTAGATACAGTAGTTACTGTATTCTGGTATTATATTCACTGTTGTTATTGGAGCTCTTAAAAAGTTACAAGTAATTCGGAATAGTAAGCTTTTGGTAGAGTTACTAATGAAGGTAATACTTACAAAGAAAATGTGAATGGTATAGCTATTCATACATAAGCAAGAAAGATTTGGGAAAAGGTATCATCTAGTGGTGGTTTTAATCTTTTGTGAGTCAAGGACTTTTGTTAAAAGCAATACACTTTTTCCTTGAAAATGTTAATATACATATTTGACCCATAGTTTCACAGGATTCATGCACTTCTGAAGCCCATCTATGAATTGCTAGTGCAGAATCTTTCCTTAGGAAATTATGCCCAGGAAACTTATACTTGGCCAAAGGCATTGTCATGAAGAACTAGTTTCTTTTAACAATTTTTTAATAGATTATCATTTTGTCTCTTCCTTGTTGTTTTCTTGAGTTCCCTTTATACTTGAGCTAAATCAAGTAGCTGAACTGTTAATGATGATGGAAAACATTTGCTGTCCCATAGAGAAGATAGACAAATGTGCAACCAAGAAGCAGGTGCTTCAGGGGAATCTGACATTCCTGAGTTTGAGTTTAGCTAGTCAGTTGGGGGTCTCCAAGACAACCTTACGCCTGAAGATTTGGTAGGAGGATTCACAAGACTCAGAAAAGCTGTTAGAGTTGTAGCTATGGGTTATTACGTGAAAAGATATAGATTAAAAGTTAGCAGAGGAGAAAACAAGCTGCAGTGTATTGCAGAAGAAACCAGATACAAACTTCCCAATATTTTCTTCCAGTGCAGTAGGACAGATGTTTGTCATTCTCTCAGCAGAGATGTGACAGCTCTGCCACACAACATGGCACACAGAATGTGCTATGTTGCCAACCAAAGGAAGTTCACTTTAGTCTTGTACATGCTTTTTGTTGGGGATCAGTGTGTGTGATTATCATCAGCAGGTTAGATTATACCACCCCCATCTCAATAGCAAAATAAATATATATTTACAGTAATCACATTGTTGTTATAAGCAAGTCAGTCAATTTGGTACCACGTGGCCTAAAGCTTCAGGGATACCTAAACATTCTTATCAGGGAGAGTGTTCCAAAAGTTTGGGGCTCATCTCCAGGAACCAGTCAAGGCTAGAACTTGTTATACATCATTCAAGGAGTTAGCTTTCTTTTGGCCTGCTTGTCCGCTAGTCACTCCTTTTATACATATTGTGGACCTCTCTGGTTTCATCATAAATGGCCATTCTACACACATTGATTTTTGCCTTTCCCTTGACATTGAATAATTGGAAATGTGGTTGAACTTGACACATTTGTACTTTGCACTTCATGAGACTAGGGTGGAAATGTAGGCATCATTCTGTCATTTATTCAGTAAACATTTTAAACACAGCATGCTGTTGTGTTTCAGACAGTGCTATATGGCAATTTGTAGAAATCATTAATACAATCTCTGGCATCAAGGAACTTGCAGTTGCATGGGAGAAAAAAAACAAAAATAGCAATTCTGGTTAACACTGTACTTTGGGGAGAATTTACTTTTACTAGAGAGTATAATTGAGGGTGTATAGGTATCTGTATATATTGGAATACAGTTATTCCTTAGGGCATCGAGCTGAGCCACAAAGATCAAATGTGTTTGGAGCATATATGAACTGTTACTGGTGTGCTCTTGACATCACTGATAGTGTCCTCAGCTGAAAAATGTCTTTCTTAGGATTTGTACAAAAGTGAAGAGAGACTATCTGGCACACTGTGAATATTTCCATTATTTTATTAGAGAAATCAATTGAAAAGACAGCCTCAGCCTATATGAGCAGGAGATAATGTTGTCATATATTGTTTCCAGGTCATAGATTATATAAGTATAGTTACGGGCTAAGAACAATATAAACATTTAAAATTTTGAAAAGTTTCAAGTGGGAGGGCAAATGTTGGCCATATCTCTATGAAATCTGATGTAACAAATTTTTTTGTTTGTTTTTGTTTTTGTATTTGCAAGCAAAAATTTTTACACAAGAGCCTGGGTGAAATTTTTCTGTATTTTCTTGAGTTTCTAAATATATGTGGCTTTTGGCTAGGTATGTGGCAAATACCTGTAATCTCAGCACTGGGCAGGCTGAGGCAAAAGGGTCACTGTGAAGTTAAGGCCAGCCTGAGCCACATGGTGAGTTCAAGGCAGCCTGAACAAAGACCCCTTCCCCCCAATGGCTTTTAACAGAATTTGGAAGAGTTTTTTTTTTTTTTAACAGTACGTAGAAATTATATAATAACAGGTTTAAGAATATATTAATAGAGTAAATACTGGGTAATTTCAAACTGTTAATCTTGATTTTCTAATAGATTCTCCCGCTCTTTTTTCTAGCATTACAGTGTTTCTGCCAGCTCTGTACAAAAGACAATTATACCTGTGTGACAGATGGACTCTGCTTTGTCTCTGTCACAGAGACTACAGACAGAGTTATACACAACACCATGTGTATAGCTGAAATTGATCTAATTCCTCGAGATAGACCATTCGTATGTGCACCCTCTTCAAAAACTGGGGCTGTTACTACCACGTATTGCTGCAATCAAGACCATTGCAATAAAATAGAACTCCCAACTACTGGTAAGTTATATAACTTTTTTTTTTTTCCCCTGGCTCCTACATTGACTGCAATTTTAGAACTGGGAGAAGATTGTAGAAATTGTGTAGCCCAGTTTATTCATGGCAAAAACATGAAGTGACTAGTGGATAGTTGTAGAGTCATAGGAATAGCCAAGATCTTGGTAAGTCTTATAAGAAATTCCTAGATAGATTTTCAGTGAGATTTGTTAGGCCTAAAAGGATAACCCCCTAAAAGCAAAAAAAACCAAGCAGATTCTGATGAATTGATAGCAACAGTATATATATATATATATATATATATATATATATATATATCTGGATTTCCCTGCTTTGTCCTTAGAGTACGTTTCTTCCTTGCATAAAGCCTTTATTTTTAAAGCCCTCAGTAGCCAGCACTATTGTGTAGATGTTTGCAGTTTATAATTTTACCTTGTTTTATGATCTTTATGTATAAGCACATTGCACATGATTTCTAGGTTTTTGGCATCACTCATACACTTTACATTTTAAAATATCCTCGTAGAGCCAGTAATTTGAAGGTTTCATTTTGTTTCACTTCACTTTGTTTCTCTTTGTTTTGTTTCACTTCTCTCCTTCCTTCCTTCCTTCCTTCCTTCCTTCCTTCCTTCCTTCCTTCCTTCCTCCCAGTTTTTTTGAGTCAAGGTCTTGCCATATGGCTCAGGGTGGTCTTTAATTCACTGCGTAGTATAGGTTGGCCTTGAATTCATACCAGTCCTCAGCCTCCCAGATGTTGAAATTATAGGCATGCACTTAACCTTTTAGCTTCATTTTAGGAATGGATTAATTTTAAAGTTCTGATTTAAGATTTAATTATTTTAGGGGCCGGCCAAATAGCTCAGCGGATTAAAGTGCCTGCAAGCAGACTCCAGGGTCCAGGGGTTCAATCCCTGGGCCTGCCGTGCCAGCCCCGCCAGCAGGGCACCCTGAGACGGCAATTGAGACTGGGCGTGGTGACGCATGCCTGTAATCCCAGCTCTTGGGAGGCTGTAAAAAGGCAGATAGATCATTATGTGTCCAATCTAGTAGTGAGACCCTGAATACCCTGTAGATCCTTCCCTAAAATGAAAAAAAAAAAAAAAAAAAGATTTAACTATTTTATTATTGACCCTGAATCCTAAATTTCTCCTGTAATAATCAGAAGAGTATAAAAATGGAGGAGACTCACCTGCCAGTGCTTTGTGAGAAACTTCCACAGTGTTCATACATTTGGCACAGTCTACCTGTCTATTGTAAGGGCCGACCTCATTGCTCACCTTTGGCTCAGAGTTGGCCTCATGGTGATTAAAGTAGGAGGCACTGTTGCAGCCAGGTCCCTCCAGTTACAGAAGGGAGACAGCCCTCTGCCTAGTTTCAGCAAGCTTGTGAGCTTCTGTGGTAGGAGCCTGTTAGTCTGTGATTTTTTTTGTGTGTGTCATTTGTGTAGTTATCTGTGTTTCTAAGATGGCAAAGAATTTGACTCCTCAAGTCTCACTTTCATTGTTTAGCTTAAAATAATCTGGATAGAGATTTACAAATCCTATGAAAAAGTCACTTCATTTCTATTGCTAAACAGACACAAACTGATTTTTAATTCCAGGATAAACAAACAGCAAAAACTTTCCGGTTGAAAAGACCCAGTGGTTTAAAAGCAGTAGACTGAACTGGATAAATTACAATAGATATCATCCTATGAAATAGGGTTCCTGCTTGCTAGGAAAGATTTTTTAGACAGTCCAAGATCTGTTTTTTGTTGTTCACTATGAAATGAGAACATTTTACAGTTGTTAATGATTGCTTTAAGAGAAAAGTTCAGTTGAGGAATGCTGTTTAAAGTAAATATACAATCTTGTGTGTATGTGTGATACACACAATATATATACACTATAGATATACATTCTTATATGTGTATATTTACACAGAAATTGGTTGTATAATTCTTTGCTATTTTGTGTGTGTATATATACATACTATATATAATGTATATTTATGTACACATACATAATATATATGTATATAAAATGTATATATTGTATATATAACATACAAAATAGCTAAGATAATTATGCTACTAATTTCTGTTAGTTCATTGAAAGGAATGGTTTGTGCTTATATTGTCTGATCAGTTTTGTAAGTCTCTTATAATCTGAACAACTACTTTGAAGATAACAATATGCAATATAGTTACTATTGTTTTGAAATTCTGTATCATTGTTTTTATCCTTTTATTTTATTTATTTATTTAATTTTTTTGGCGGAACTGGGAATTGAACTCAGGCCCTTGAGCTTGCCAGGCAAGCGCTTATTCTACTGAGCCATCTTCCCGCCCCTTTATCTTTTTGAAATAAAGTTTAAAAAATACACTTGAGTGCAACAGCAGAATAGATGCTATAATTCTATAGTCAAGCTATAGAAATTGTGTTATAGTTTAGAGAAGAAGGGAGCTAGTAAGCAAATTAAAAGAATAAATCTAAGTGATTTAATAGATTATTAAAATTCCAGAAAATGAAACAAGTACAAAAGAGAGATTACCAGGCATAACTAATGAAAAAATGTCCAAATATTTATTTTTAAAATAGCACATTTAGGAATTAAAACACACACACACACACACACACACACACACACACAATCATTTAGTGACTATAAATACTGGTTACTTATGCCAGTCTTTTTTTTTTTTTTTTTGGTGCTGGGACTCAAACTCAGCACCTTGAGCTTGTCAGGCAGGTGCTGGATGGCTAAGCTATATTCCTGCCCTTGGTTGTTCATAAAAGGCAAAATACATTCAGATTTTCTGCCCTCTTTTTGTGTGTTTGTATCTAGAACTTGAAATTGAACCCAAGGCCTTCAATACTGAGGTATATCCCCAACCGTATTATCCCCAAACTGTAATAAAAATTTTTTTTTTTTATTTTGAGACAAGGTTTTGCTAATCATTAAGTTGCTCAGGCTGTGCTTGCTTGGAATTCCTCTTCCTCAGCCTGGCAGAGTGTTGAGCTTACAAGCATGTACTATGACATTGGGTGGTGTTCTGTTTTTTAAGTAGCAGAGGGCAGGGTGGACATGGTATTTTGAACTAGGCTGAGATTTTTCATATGCAAAGGCAATAGTCATATTATTGTTTTGCTTCATTTTGTTTTTTGATTTTTGAGGTGAGGTTTTACTGTATAGCCCAGGCTGGCCTTCAACTCTTGGAGATCCTCCTACCTCAGCCTCTCAAGTGGTAGGATAACAGGCATGTGCTACCATGCTGGATTTATCTTTTAAATAATTAAGTCTTCACCATGTAAGGACCCATATGTACTTTCACTGAAGGAAAAAAAAAAAGACTAGAAATAGATTTTTTATGATGAAAAATTAATACAAACAAAGATCTCAAGAATGGGAAACATTGATATAAAAAATGATGGTGAATAGTGAACTAGTTGGGCTCAGAATGAATATCAAAAAACTGATTAATATGGTTCTGAGAAAAATTTAATGTTAATTGTTAAGATATAAGATAATAAATGATCTGGGATTTAAAATTTATATGATTAAAATAATTTAAGAAGTGTTTATAAACAGAAATTTTAAGGGGGAGGTCTTTTTGAAACAGCGTCACACTATGCAGTTCAGGTTGGCCTCGAACTCACTTTGTAACCCAGGTTGACCTTGAACTCACAGCAGTTCACCTGCCTGAGCCTCCCAAGGGCTGGGATTCTCTAATGTGTGGAAAATTCTGTTGTAAAAAAATTTGTTGTGTATTGCCTTTAAAAAATTGTGGAGGCTTGTCTACTAAAATGTAGGTTTTTTGGTGATGGTGAGGGAACATAAATTTTTAAAGCTTCTTGCTTATTTGTATTCATACATTTCTCCCCTCCCATAAGCATCTACTAGCTTTGAAATAAGGGAGACAAGCTAAAAAGTGCTTTGGAAAAAAATGATGATTTTTAAAAGACATTAGTGGGAGCTGTTTTAGATTATTGGATTCTTTTCTGGTAACCTGAAGTGACAGATGGGGAGGACCTGGGGTATTGGTGCTGGCTGACTTAGTTTTTAAACTGGATAATTGGTAGGGACACAAGAAGCATTAGAGGGTGCTGACAGTGGTAGTGATCATGAAAGAGAGCCAGCAAGAGGAGACTGAGTGATAGGCTTGTTCTGGCTTTGAGTCTTGTGATCTGCTCTGACGTATGAGGCTAGGGGTGGTCTGTGGGCAGTTGTAGGAGATGTGGAATAAAGATATGTGGATGCTACCTACAGTGTTTTGTTGTTGTTGATGTTTATTTCACTTGAGGCCCTTTTCCAGAAAAGCAGTCACCTGGCCTTGGTCCCGTGGAGCTGGCAGCTGTCATTGCTGGACCAGTCTGCTTTGTGTGCATCTCACTCATGTTGATGGTCTATATCTGCCATAACCGAACTGTCATTCACCATCGAGTGCCAAATGAAGAAGATCCTTCATTAGATCGCCCTTTTATTTCAGAGGGTACTACGTTAAAAGACTTAATTTATGATATGACAACATCGGGGTCTGGATCAGGTAATGAAATTGTTTCTCCTTTTTTCTAAGACTTGTCAAAATTAACTTGAGGCATTTATTTTATTAATTGGTTAAGCAATTGGTTGGCTTAATTTGTTAAAACTTGGGATAGTGAGAATGGTATGGCCCAAGTCTCAGCCAAAAAAGTTTTTCAGTTTGGTCTAAATCTGACTGTGGCTAGTTTAGTGTAAATTAGAATTTTTACTGTTAAAACAATTCAGTAAGTCAGCCTTGCAGTTGGCTTAAGTTTCAAAGCATTCTTGGCTATAAAATCTTGTTTCTCATGTCTGCGAGATAGAAAGTAGAACAACTTAAGGTGAGGCTGAAGTGCAAGGTGTTCAAATGATCTGCAGCTACCCATTCTATTCAGGATTGTGGAAGTCTTATTCTTGTATGTGAAAGCAGGCATGAAAGAAGTATATTTGGAATTGAGAAAGTTATTTGCTTTTTAAATATGAAATTGCTATTGTTAGATCAGGTCTGGTTTTTATCAAACTAATGAACTCTCAATAATTTTTTGCTCCAGAAAAAAAAAATGAACTACATCATGTAATTAACTTTATGGTTCTGTGGCCCCTGTAATGTTTGCTTTTCTCAATTTATTGATCTTTGTGGGATCAGTGTGTCATAGTTGTCCTGAGCTGGATGTTGGCATAGCAGTACTTAACCTTCGGTAGAGTTTTTATTGGGGTTGAGCCTTATACTGGAGTCATGCAATTATATATTGCTTGGGCTGGGCTCAGATTTGTGAACCTCCTGCCTCAGCCTTGCAGAGTACTGAGAATGCAGGCATGTGCCACTAAACCCAGCTTTCATTTTTAAACTGTGGGAGAATTGTGTTTTACTTTTTCATGCATGTGGTTTGGAAGGAGACTAAGAAAGGAACAATGCCACTATGCCTATGATTTCAAAATTTGACACTGAATCAATAGATCTAGATTGTTATACAAGCTGAAATATTGATTGGCTCTATGACCTTGGTTAAACCATATTGCCTCTTTGGGCTCTCTTTTCTATCAGAAATATGGAATAGGTACATTGATAATAAAGTTAAGCGCTGTGTTAGAATTTTTTAAAAGATATTTTATATCCTTTGAAAAATATACACCAGTTTCAGATAAATGCTAAATTCATGGATAAAGTAAAGATTTGAAAATATACATAATGAAAACAGATTGGAGAATATAGAAACTGATTCTATGAACTGAAACCTTCTGTGGTTTGACCATATGTAGGCAGTCAATGAGCACTTCTCCTGTCCCCTACAGTATATCAATCTTGTCCACGAGTCCAGATCTCTTAGGGCAACATAGGTATTCCTGAGACTGGTGAGAGAGGGAAAGGTTGGGCTGAGTTGGAACAGTCACAGTACTGCAGATATGATGCTATTTGGGCAGGAGTGGTAGACAAGAGGGTTTGCCATTGATTCTGAGGTAGTACAAATGGCTCCCCAAGAAACATTTTCTTGTAATTTACCTGACTCAAATCTTTTGATAAGCAAAGACCAAAATCACAGAAAATTAGAATGGCTACTGTTCATTTGGAATTTATCCTTTAGACCTGTTCTCTTATTGCCAAACTTACACTCAGGGAAATCAAAGGAGCAGCTCATGCCCATAAGCCTACCCAAACAATTAAGACACTGGGATAGATGGCAGTTCAGTTTTTTTTTTTTTTTTTCGCAGAACCGAGGATTGAATTCAGGCCCTCGAGCTTGCCAGGCAAGCACTTATTCTACTGAGCCATCTCCCCGGCCCCAGTTCATTTCTGAATAGATATGTTTGTTTACCTTTTAAACTGTAGATATAATGCAAAAATGAAATTTTTCTGTTTCATTGACATTTAACTTCTTAATGGACCATACCTCTCTAAATTGCCTAAAAGCAGCTTTCTCATCTGTCCTCTGTGTATCTACATTATTTGCTAGCTCTATAGCTTTGGATAGTTAGCTGATGTCTCATGCTTGAGTTATTTCATCTTTAAAATGAAAGTGATGAACCCTGCTCTGTGCATGTTATTAGACTGTTGTGTATTTCAAGTGAGACAAGATGTTGGTGTGAAAACACTTGGTAAATTGAGACTTATATCCAAATGACAGGTGTTACTCTTACTCATAATATTTGGAAGAAAACTGACTTACAGCATCGGTTTGCTGCATTATACCCAAACCAGCTTAATTTAAGGCCTCCTTTCCCTGATTTAAGTACTTACGTAGCAGAAGCAATTTTCTATTGAGTAATAGCAGAAAAGGCCATCTGTTTCCCTTATGGTCATTATAAAGCCATTTGTCACCTTGTACAGAGGGCCCATGCATGTTAATAAGTAAGATTTTTTTCCACAATTTTCTTTTTAGTTCTCTCACTCATTGAGGAAAAGGAAAAACTAAGCATTTTCTGTTTTGAATTCAGATGTTCTGAAGATGTCCATATTTGAGGAAAGGCCTTATCTCTACCTCTTATAGTCTATTTTTAAGTTGGAAACTACAGGGACAATAGCGAAGAAATGGGTTATAGTAGCTCAAACCTTGGAAATAACATAATGGTTATTGCTCTGATTTTAATCACAGGTTGTGATGTGCCCAATTTAAGCATTTAATTAGATTGTAAAGTTTATGCCAATTTTTTAAAAGAATGAAGATAAGCCAGTGGTGTTCATTATGTCTTGTGCATGTTTATGATGCTTTGTAATATATGCTTGTTGTTTAGGTCTTATTTTTGTTGTTCATTGTATGTGATGCTTTGGAGGTCCAATTTTAATACTGAAGCTTTCTCCCAAGCTGTTTTAAAGGTATAAAAGAGTAAAATAGAGAATAGAGATCTAATTTAGTTTCAGCTTGGTTTTTGATTTTGACTCCAATTTAGAATCATTGATGAAGGGGAAGACAAAAAATTCTTTGTTTTGTTAGCCTATTTTTACTATTATTTGTTTAAGTCTTAAACCTAAATTGGCTCTTCAGTATACCTTTAAGTACATGATGTGGCCCTATAGAAGGTTTTGAGAAGAGTTTATTTTTTCCTCCCTGTTACCAGATTCATCTTTCTAAAATGAGATTTTGAAAGTATTTCCCTCCCATTTTGGTCCTTTGAAAAACTAAATTCTTAATGAGTCCTTTATTTTACAGCTCTTTTTGGTCCTAACAAGCCTGGTCTTCAAGACTTTGATGACAGCCCACATTCTCTTCCACTGCCGTGCCACATAACATACTTAGTGATAAGTTGGGCTGGCCCTGAAACATACATGATACATTTCCTTCTTCTGCCTTTATTTTAATATACCTCCTGCCTTTATTTGAATATACCTCCCACCTAAACACCTTACTTCCTTTTCTTCCTTTGATCCTATACATTTTGTGAAGGACTGTCAAAATTCAACTTATTTTAAAAAGCCTACTCTAACCTCAATGAAATTATAAGTTCCTTAAACCTAGAACTTTTAAGAGCAATACTTGTCGGGGTTACTTTTTGTTGATTGTGTTTGATACCATTTAGGTTTACCATTGCTTGTTCAGAGAACAATTGCAAGAACAATTGTGTTACAAGAAAGCATTGGCAAAGGTCGATTTGGAGAAGTTTGGCGAGGAAAGTGGCGGGGAGAAGAAGTTGCTGTTAAGATATTCTCCTCTAGAGAAGAACGTTCATGGTTCCGTGAGGCAGAGATTTATCAAACTGTAATGTTACGCCATGAAAACATCCTGGGATTTATAGCAGCAGACAATAAAGGTCAGTAACATTTGTTTATTCTTATATTGAGTATAAGTCCAGTTAAACCTTTTTACACATAAAACTACTAAATATTGTCACATTTGGTGAGAAATAGATGTTTGTTACACATATGAGATCTATTAAGAAATAAGAACTTCTTAAAGATTTTTAAGTAAAGCTCCTAAATCTCCAGTTGGTATACAAAATGCAAAAGAGCTATAAAAGAAGGCCATGTATTTTTGTTATTTTAGGTCTGGACAGTTAGTTGAGTATAGTCGTGTTATATGAAAAAAATTATAAATTGTTTGCTTAAAATTTGGAGGTAGAAGGAACTCATGTATTTATTTCCTTTTCATTTCTTCATAACCAGTACAGAATTTTAGCATAGACCAATGTCCTTATTTATGAAGAGAGTAAGAATGACTTCCCAGCATATAGCTCAGTGGCACAGTACCTTCCTGGCAAGTGTAAGGTTTAAGAAATCCCAAATTTCCCAGCTCATTGCATGTTCTGAGTTGCTATGGCTAAATAGATTAATCTCTTTTTTTTTGGCGGAAATAGGGATTGAATTTAGGCCCTTGCATTTACCAGTAGATTAATCTTTTTAAGTAAACTCATTTAAAAGAAATAATTTCTTCCTAACCACCTTGCCATTGGTAACACTTTCTTGCCTGTCAGCACAGGTACAAGAGCTAGGTCAGATCAGATGCCTAAGAAGAGAGGAGGCTGGACTGGGCATGGTGGCACACACTTGTAATCCTAGCGCTGGAGAGGCTTGAGGCAGAAAGATTGCTGCAAGGTTGAGGCTGGCTTGGGGAATGTAATGAGTTTAAGGCCAGCCTGAACCACATAGCAAGACCTTATTCATCCCCTAACCCACCCACCCCCCCGAAAAAAAAAGAAGAAAGAAATCCACATTAGTTGAGATGAGTAATGATTGCTAGCAATAACCTTAGACTCTCTCACCTGCTTTCTTGGCTTCAGTTAATAACTACATGTTCACAATTTCCGTTTCTACCGTTTTCATCAAAGACTCATGTTATGACTGACCATCCTCACCCTGAATGAAGTATATTTCCCAGCTTTGCCATGGCCAGACCTGTAGTCATCTTTTTCCTTCCTTTCTTTTTGTATTTTAGGGGAGAGTCTGCTGGGTGTTCAGGGTCTCACTACTAGATTAGTAGTGATCTGCCTGTTTACAGCCTCCCAAGAGTTGGGATTACAGGCGCGTGCCACCACCCTCAATCTTCTTAATGATTTTAAAGAGGGCTTTACAGTAATTGTTTCCTTTAAAGGACTTACTTACATTTATGTTTTGAAACTGCTATGGTGATGAGACTCAGATTGACGTTTTGAAGCCTGAACTTTACCTAGTGCCTATGTTAGGCACATTGTAGGTCTCAAACACATGGGCACAAAATGCTGGTGCATGTTTCCTCAGCTTTCACATTGTTCAAGCAGCGACCAAGTGAATGCTGTCATCTGGTGGGCATTATAGGAATTAGCCGACCCTAATGAATCTTCTCAAACCTTTCTTTTTTGTCGGGTTAATATACGTTGCTCAGAATCCAGCCCTTCCACTCTAGTTCCTTTTTCCTTTAACTTCATCCTTCTGACTTAATTCCATTTCAGACAACTCTTTCAATGCATGGCCTCTTATAACCGTCCTCTGCATCTAGTTGGTTGCCTCAGAAAAATCTCTGATTTTCTTCATCTACTCTTTATTTCTTGTATTTGTGACCTTTCAAAATTCAGTCATAGTTAATAAGCATGCATATAAAGTAGTGATATCTGTATCTCGGGAAAGAGATTTAATTTTAGATAGTCAATTTCTATAATTTATGAAGAACAGTATCATTAGTCTCTGTATTAGTCACTTTACTGTGGCTTTGACAAAATGCTGAAACCCCAGTTTAAGGAGGAGAGGTTTATTTTGGCTTAGGGTTTCAGTCTTTCATTGGCTGGCTCCATAGAAATAGCCAGGTGGAAGGGCATGTTAGAGGAAAGTTACTCAATTCATGCAGCCAGACAGAAAGCAGAAAGAAGCCAGGAACATGAACATACCCTTTCAGGTCGTACCCCTGTGACCCACCTCTTCTGACAAAGACCCACCTTCTAAACAGCACATTCAGTTAGAAACTCATGAGCGAATTAATCCACTGAGGAGTATAGTGACTCCATAATCCACTCATCTTCCAAAAATCTGACCTTTAAACCTATGAGACTTTTGGGGGCACAATTTTAGATCAGATCACTGTGCCTCTGGCTCCCAAAAGACTTAGTGTATCCCATGCAAAATGCATTTAGTTTGCCTTAAGAGTCACCAAATATTTAAGCACTGGTAAAAAGCCCCAAGTCCAAAGTCTTTTCCAAAACTCAAGGCAAACTCTTACCTGTGAGGTCCTATATAAATCAGCAAGAAAGTTAAATACTTCCAGTGTACAGTAGTATAGGGTAAACATTTCCATTCCTAAAGTGAAGAATGGGGGAGAGAAAGGAACTGGACCAGAACCCAGCAGGATAAAATTCAATTTAATCCTGTAGCTCTATGTCCAGCACCTGTGCTGAGATGTAAGCCTCAGAGGGCTTGGGCAGCCCCACCCTTGCAACCTTGCTAGGTTGCTGTGTCTGTCCCCATCCCCCCCCCACTCCCCTCTTTTGCTGACTGCTTACTGCCTGTGGTTTTCCTTAGCAGATGTTCTGCATTCCTGGCATGTCTAACTTTCTGGGGTCTCCACTGAACCTTTGGCTTCACTCTTACAGTTTAGTAGTTACCTCAGAGAAATATGGCCTAACATTTCAGGCTTTCCTTTGAAGTCTGGATGGAAGCTTCCATGACCCCACAACGCTTATTCTGCTGCCTGAAAAAATCATGTGGGTGATACTAAAATTTGCCATTAGCTCAAACAGTATCCTGGCCCCCATAAACTATGGCTGCAGTGGCCTCTGGGTGTGTAGAACTTTGGGATACACTTCCCTAGGTAGTCCTGAATGATCAGCTTGTCCAGGGATCCTCTTCTCACAGCAAAAATCTTAAACCATCTGTTCTTTTCCAAACTTGAGCCTGCAGTGTGTGAGGTCTATTTCCTAAGATGCCATTAAGGGATCTTTTGTACTGTTCCAAGGCAAAGATTTGGCGTCTTTAATAACACTAATTTTTTCACCAATCACACTGTCATTGGCATCAACATTATAGGTGCTTTTTTCTGGTCAGATCACATTATTTTCATACCCTGTGGGTCTGCTTTTTACCCTGGTGCTCATGGTAAGTCTGGCTAAAAGTAGTCAGCTTGTACCCATGCCACAGTCTGAATGTTGGGCTGCATTGAAGGTTCCTCTATCAGATTAATTAGTCTATCACCTATTAAATTCAGCATGATACAAGGTATTAGGACGTGGATAAAATGTTGACAAATTTTTTCCTAGAGTGTAACACACTTGGCCTATAGTCCTTCCCAATAGAATCCTCATTCCTAACTAAAACCGGCGGGGGGCGGGGGGCCTTGCCATTTATTGTTTACATTCCATTCAACATTTTGATCTTCTGAGCTCCAAATAAAATTGTCCATCAGGCTCTGCTTATTGTGTTGTAGGGCTTCTCTAACCTTTCCAACCCACAGACCAATTCCTAAGGCTTCTGAGTCCTGTGGTCAGGTAGTCATAGCAACAGCCTCACTTCTTGATACCCATTTTCGGTATTAGTGGAAGAGAGGTTTGTTTTGGCCATAGTTTCAGAGGTTGGTTATAGTTAGTTGGCAGAAACAGCATGGTGTAAGGGCCTGGCAGAGGAAACCTGGACAAGAATACACCTTTCCAGGTCATGCCCTCAATGACCCATCTCTTCTGAACAGACCTAGGCTAGGAACTCATTAGTAGTTTAATCCTTTGACAAGTATAGTGTCCCATGGTACAGTCACTTCTAAAAGGCCAGCCTCTGAACACATGAGACTTGGGGGTTTTTAGATCTAAACAACAGTAGTCTCTTTAAGTCCTTTTGAAAGTACCAAAATTCTCCCTCAGAATCTGAAGTGTTTGTATCTCCTAAATTTAGTTCCTTTTCCAAGTAACAGCCTTCAAAATACACAGGTTATTTTTTGTTAGTGTGGGTTTTTAATTTTTTTTTTTGCTTTTGCTTTATAAGTGATAGGGAAGGAAACAGCACCTTTTAAATTCGCACAAGCCAAGAGCACTATACTATCTACTTAAAAAAAAAAAAATCCATTACTGTATTCTGTTTTTAAAGCCTTACAAAGTAAGATATTATTCGTGTATGAAAGAAGCAGCAGACCCACTGGTTTAGATACTTGTTGAGGCCACATAATCAGTAACAGGCAAGCCATGGATTCCAGTTCAGGTCAGAATGACTTAAGTATGTTTCTTTTAATTTAATTTTGCTCTTAATGTTATACTGGGTTTTGGTCATAATTTAATTAAGTATGTGGTATTTCATCTACTTGTAGAGTTGAGCCTAGGAACCTAGCTAGCATCTTTACCATTATTCCTAGTGAAAAAACACATTTCAAATTTATGTATCAACTTCTAAAGGGAACTTATAGGAGCTATGTTTCTAGTTGTTCAGGTTCAAAATCACTTTGTATAAAACTGGGTTCAGTCTCGGATTTCTCAACCTTTTCCTGACACTTTAGTTTTCATCACAGCTTTCCCATGTGTCAAAAGTAACACCGGTTTTGTTTTTCTAAGTTAGCAACTTTGGAATCATAATCTTCTTATCTAGCATCTTCTGTCTCTAAAGCTTGTCATGAGTCCATCACTTCTAACTGAAGTTCATGTCAGTTTTGTCCCATACTATTCTATTCCTAACTATGGCCTTACTGGGCTCTCACTCATCCCCCCAGCTCCCCCAGCCCCTGCACAAGAAACAGCCACAGAAGTACCTAATCTGATCTGGCTTTTGGGCCTTTGCATCCCACAACTCTGCTACTATCTGTATAAGTTATTGTTTGTGTTACTGTCTGTGTAGGTTATTATTACCTCTTAAATAGGGTTAATTATATTGCCTTGTCTGTAGAGTAAGGGTCTTACTGTGGATATAAGGGGACTGTCTATGAAAGTATATGATAAACAATATACAAGAAAATGTGAAGGAAACAAATTTAAGGTAGTATCTTGTTGAAGTTGTATGGTTCAGGATTGAGAGTAAAATAGAGTAACTTTTGAATAAATCATAAACATTTAACCCAACTAAAACATTATTATTCTGTTTTTCAGACAATGGTACATGGACTCAACTCTGGTTGGTGTCAGATTATCATGAGCATGGGTCCCTCTTTGATTACTTGAATAGATACACAGTTACTGTGGAAGGAATGATTAAACTTGCTCTGTCTACAGCAAGTGGTCTTGCCCATCTTCACATGGAGATAGTTGGTACTCAAGGTAATTCTTTAAACAGGTTCAATAAGCTCTACATTCCCATGAAATCTAATATCTATTGAGAATTAAAAGTCAGCTTAACTGGAGATATTTAAAATGGATATTTTAGATGAGAACATCAGGTTTAGGAATGTGGGGATTTGCTTAAAAATTCTGATTACTGTAACCACACTGATATTTTTGTGAGTTTTTACAATTAGCATTCAGCAAAATAATAGATGTTAAGAAGTACGGAGATCTACTTCAAATGTGAGAGGAGCAAAAGATAGAGGGAAAGGGAGGAAGGTGAGCAGAAGACAGTGAAACAAACTGAACAGAAAATGCAAATAGACCTTTTGCAGATGAGAAGAGCACCAAGAATTGGAAGGAGCAAGGAGGCACATGAGGAATAGGCGATGGAGAAAGAATTAGGGATGGAGATGTAGCTCAGTGGCACAGTGCCTGCCTGGCAAGCATGAGGCCATGAATTCAATTCCAGTACAGAAAGGAACTAACCAAAACAAAAACACAAAAGAAAAAGAGAAAAAAAGAATTAAGATGTATGTGTATGTATTAACTCTCTACAATATATGTAACTATTGTACACAGCAAAAATCAGTAAATAGACTCATTTTTAAAAAAGTAGTGTTTGACCTTATAGTTTTCGAGGATCAGAGTTTAAGAAATCAGTCTCAGAATATATTTTTATATGTCATATCAAACAAAGTAAGAAAATGTTTTTAAGATAGGATATACAAATACTATCTGGTACCCAGTAATTATTTTCAACACTGAAATAAGATCATTTGCTATAGTTTGATAGTTGATAAATTAATTAGGAAGTTTTGTTTGTTCTCCAAATTTTTTTTTTTTTTTTTTTTTTTTTGTTATTTTTTTTTTGGTGGAACTGGGGATTGAACCCAGGGCCTTGCGCTTGCCAGGCAAGTGCTTATTCCACTGAGCCATCTCCCCGGCCCCTGTCCTCCAAATCTTAAAACAACTTTTTAATATCCCGTGAACCTAGAATATCTGTCAATGTATCTATCGATCAATTGATCTATCTATCGACAGGGTCTTGCTATGTATGTATGTAGTTCAGTATAACTTTGAAGTCATTATGTAACTCAGGCTGGACTTGAACTTGCAGTAGTCCTCCTGCCTCAGCCTTCCGAGTCCTGGGGTTATCAGGCATGCACCGGCATACCTTAGGCTTTTTTATTTTTTAATAGCTGTGTTATTTTCTTAAAGTCTTACCCTTCTTACTCATTTGTATGAAGGCTCTAACTTTACAAATAGAAATTTTACGCTGTGGTATATTTGTGTCATGTAGGAAATCAGATGCTGATTGATCCTCTGGTTTAACTCTTGTCCATTTGCTCTCTGGTGGCTCCCTTGCTCCCTCTCTGCGACATGTGGTGTTCTACAACGTAGCTCTGTGTTGTTCTTGAGAACAGCTCTTTCGAGTTACTTTTGCATATTGTAAGTCACCTATTTATAAAGGAAGGGCAGAAAACAAGATGATTCATATAAACAAGATGATTCTTATGCTGTGCCACTCGGCAATTCCAAGTTTTTATATGGATGTGTGCTTTTAGTTATCATGAATATATACCAAGGAGTAAATAATTGTATTATATATGGTAACTTGGTTTAGTGGTTTGAGGAATTGCCAGACTGGTTTTCCAGAAATCATAGCTTTCTGTCATCAGTTTGTAATTATTATCGTTAACAGCATTTTTTCTAGTAGTTAGCAGGTGGTCTACAACGTAGCTCTGTGTTGTTCTTGAGAACAGCTCTTTTGAGTTACTTTTGCATATTGTAATATCACCTATTTTGTTTTTGTTTTTGTTTTTGAAATGTATATTTCATTGTTTTTGAAATACAGTTGTGCACTGTCATCACAAATTAATTTTAAGACATTTTCATTACTTTAGAAACTCTGAAGCAGGGGCTGGTGAGATGGCTCAGTGGTCTAAAGCACCTACTTAGAACAAGCTTAGCAAAGCACAGGGACCGCTGTTCAATCCCCCAGCACCACATGCCAGCCAGCCCCGCCCCCTAGTGGGCTGAGCTGCCCCCCCAAATAAATAAATTTTTAAAAAAAGAAACCCTGAAGCAATTATCAGTTATTCTCCTTCCTCCCTAAACTCTTAAGCCATAGACAACCACTAATTTGCTTTCTGTCTCTAAACATTGCTTGTTCTTGACATTTCACATAAGTGCAACCATGGGATATATAATCTTTTATGATTTGTTTCTTTCACTAGGCATGTTGCCTAAGTTGTAGCGTATATCAGTATACCATTATTTTTTATGACTAAGTAATAAGTCTTTTTGTGTGGACCTATACACCATATTTTATGTATCCTCTCATCAACTAATAAATGTAGGTGGTTTCCAATTTTGGTTATCATAAATACTCTTGCAGTGTACAATAGTTCCAGGTTTTGTTTTTGTACTAGAAATTGAACCCAAGCAGGCGCTGTGCCACTCGGCAATTCCAAGTTTTTTATATGGATGTGTGCTTTTAGTTATCATGAATATATACCAAGGAGTAAATAATTGTATTATATATGGTAACTTGGTTTAATGGTTTGAGGAATTACCAGACTGGTTTTCCAAAAATCATAACTTTCTGTCATCAGTTTGTAATTATTATTGTTAACAGTATTTTTTCTAGTAGTTAGTATTAAACAATATCTTTAATGCTAAGTGCATTCTTGGAATGATTAAAAAGGGAAATGATCTGTATACTTGGTTCTGAAGTTGGATTGTCAATCAGTGACTTGTAAATAATTTATTAAATATCAGTGAACATCAACAGTTTCACCCCTAGTCTTTGAGTCTTCACGCTTACCTTATGTTAGCATCATCTTATGAATCATCTTGTTTTCTGCCCTTCCTTTAAAAAAAATGGAATTTAGCAGTGTTTGGTATAGTGATTTACTATTTCCTTTTCATGCTGAGTGAAATGCTTTCATACTAGGACAAGAAGAGAGGCCTTTGAACCTAAAAGGTAGAATTACGATTATTATTTAAATAATTATATTTAATTTTTGATTCTTTAGGAAAGCCAGCCATCGCACACCGAGATTTGAAATCAAAGAATATCTTGGTGAAGAAGAACGGGACTTGCTGCATTGCAGACTTAGGACTGGCAGTGAGACATGATTCAGCCACAGATACAATTGATATTGCTCCAAATCACAGAGTGGGAACGAAAAGGTACACTTGTGAATAAATGGTATTCAGTGTATCAATTAGTTATGTTAACTGTAACAGAACAACCAATGTTTGTAGGGTATTTAATACATGCCAGGTGTCTTAGTAGGTTATTTAGCATACTGCCTCATTAAAGTCATAGTCAAACACTGCTATAGGTAGGTCAACTGTTTTCATATTTTCAGTTGCTAAAAATATGGCTTTCTCTCTTCCTTAGAACTTTTGTGTATGCGCTATGTCCTAAAGTATACTTTCCTGTATACTCTTTCTTGACTTACACCTTTCCTTTTTCATAGGAAGCCTTTTCTAGTCCTCAGGAGTCTTGCGTATCCCTACCAAGGGCTCATAGCATGCTGAACTTGGACCATTGAGGCATTTAGCATAGGTCTGTGTATTCTATTAGATTGTAAGCTGCTTCAGAGCAGCCTTGTATTCCCAGCATCCTAATCCCTATGTAGTAGATCTTCAATGAATATTCAGTGAATCCATAAGTTCTCAAAAGGACCTAATTAGATAGGTGTTGTTACCATTGATTTTCAGATAAGAAAACAACCTAGTGTAGGTTAAGTAATGTGACTACCTTTATATAAATGGTAAGCTGAAGAGCTGAGACTTCTAACCCAAAAGCACTTGCTTTACTTAATTACATCATGTTGTTACATTTCTTTACAACTAACTACTTCCTTGACCTTGGAAATAATCAACGACTTTAGCCTATCAAAATTATATTTATGAATTCTGGGTTCAGTGGAGAGACTTTCAAAACTCTTGATTGGCTAAGGGACCCTCCACAGTGTTTGTTGCACATCTTTGTGGGCTAAAAATTAATAGGGTTTTTGAAACTTTATAATGTAATATCAGTGTGCCTACTGTCATTCATTTTTATATGTTGTGTTGTTCCCTGGAGTAGTATATCCTAGCTCCCGTTTAATAATAGTAAAAAGATGTCTGCATTAAAGTGTATAGTCCCTGCACAGTACATGATATGGTACACATTAGGGTATTTATAACCACTGTACCTATTATAGGTGTACCTTTCATTGGAAACCAAGATCACACATGGCATAAAACTGTCATTTGAACATTTTGTGGTATTAATATCATTAATGTGAAAACTAATGTGGATATTTAATACTTTTCAGTTTAATATCCTGGTTATGTAATTTGTGTGTGTGTGTGTGTGTGTGTGTGTGTGTGTCTGACAAATTAGTGGCTGGATGTTACCACTGTGGCAGTAGTGGATGCTTTTTACTGTGTACTTCATGTACATGGAGAAATTTTTATGAGTGTGAATCACTTACTCAAATAGTAGAACCATGCTCTAAGGGGCAAACTTAAATCGTGGTTGTGCTTTTAAATTCTGTTTTCAGGAGTAAAAGGAAATGTATGAAACATTTAAAAACCATGGCTACCATTCAGTAAAATAAAATACTGGCTTCTTTTTTAGGTACATGGCCCCTGAAGTTCTAGATGATTCCATAAATATGAAACATTTTGAATCCTTTAAACGCGCTGACATCTATGCCATGGGCTTAGTATTCTGGGAAATAGCTCGTCGATGCTCCATTGGTGGTAAATTGATCTCTCTTTCCCCAACAGTTTGTCCTAAGCAGAAGTTGTTAAGGAATTACCTCTTCTTCACTCAGTGAAACTTCATAGTTCAACAGACTAACAGGTGTCACTGAGAGTGTCAGAGAAAACCTGGAGTGAGGTTTGGCATGCTCTAATTCTTGCATGTTCTCCTGTTTCCATCTGAGTCTTGGGAAGCATCAGAACGTAAGCCCTGTTTCCTTGGTCTGTAGTTAAAGTGGATGGTCCCCTCAGAAGGCCATTTAGGAAACTGTTTGTAGCATGTACCTGGGTCAACTTCATTTCTTTGAGTTTAACTGATTATTTTCTCTAGGTGATTGTTGGAGATTAATGCAGTGGCAATTGTATTACTTTTTAAGTTTCTTAATTTTCAGCTTTCATTTTTACATCTAGCACTTGTTTCTGTTTACTTGAGAAACTGGCTTAGGCTGTGGGAGCCAGGCTAAGATCTAGGACCTCAGTTCTTTGAGGCAGTGAGGGGCAGAATATGTTTTGGTATTGTAGCAAATAGAACATGTTATTGACAGATGCAAGCAGAAGGACTTGCACTTAAGGCTTGCCATGTAGAATTATACCGAGGGAGAGACTGAGCTCACACATTTGCTACACAGTGGGCTAATAGGAGAAAATGCCATCTTGGTCATCAAAGATCACAGTTAACCATCATTTAAAAAGACCTTGTGCTGAGCTCATGGCACTATTGAGTTTGAAGGTACATGCCCAGTAGTGGGAAGGTTGATGTAGATATGGATGAAATAATGAAAACTGCCAGCCTTGTTCTGCTTACATGATTTAGCATAACTATATAAATTCTTCAAAGTAATTTTTTTTAAAACTAATACAGGAATTCATGAAGATTACCAGCTGCCTTACTATGATCTTGTACCTTCTGATCCATCAGTTGAAGAAATGAGAAAAGTAGTTTGTGAACAGAAGCTGAGGCCAAATATTCCAAACAGATGGCAGAGCTGTGAAGTGAGTATTTCTTTTTTATAAGAGGCCATTTTCTAAACTGTTTCTATTTGTTAAGTAGAAATTTATTTATTTAATTTTTTTTTTGAGGGAAAACAAGAATTCTTTTGTTGATTTTTTTTTTTTTTTTTTTAATAGCAGTCAAACCAGTGAGTAGAAGTAAAATAATTTGGTTTTCATGTTCAGTTGTAAGCACCTTAAAAGGACCATGGAGCATTTGCAGTGGCCTTCAGCATATCTGGCAAGTGTTAGCTGTGCCAAGGGAAGTAGGTGAATTCCGTACTTCAGCTAGGGCAGCCCAGAATAGTACCCTGAGTACAAGACAGGAATTAGGAGGCTGATGTTCTGGACAAGTCTGGCGGGTCTGGATTTTATATAGGTCATTTCACTTCTGTAGAACTCAACATCCCTTTGTAAAATGAACAACTCACTAAAATGATTACAGAACAGCTTCAGATGCCCAGATATCCATTAACCAGGAGTTTGAGGAAAATGTTGTTCAGCAATACAAGCTTTTCATTCCCAGCTCTGAGAAAAAGCTTTAGAAATATTTTCTTACTTGTAATTGCTACTGCTACTATTATTGTATTAGTGAAACAGGTTGAAGTTTTATAGCTTAGATGTAAAAAGCTGATCACTTTAATAGTTGATTTTATGTCTTAAAATAATACAGTACTTCATAGGGATTCTAATACCAAAATTGTACTACCTACTTCCCAGCCAAATGAACTATCCAGCCCAGATACAGCACGTTTAGAATTTTCATGAGGCATAGTTGAAACACATTAAAAATAAGAAACTGAAAGAATACCTAAATAAGTCTCCTCGAGAGCCTTCTGTTTCCAGTCTGGAGTGGTTGCTCTTAAGATCAGATATACAGCTTTTACAGTGTCCCTCATCCTTCATCTTAATAGTCTCTTGCCTCTCTTCCATTTCCATTCCTCCTTCTTGGATCTGATGTTCATTGTGTCAACTTGAGAAATTTAGGTTAACTAAGTGACTTAGCAGGGGCCAGGGCCCTTACTTTGTATTCAACCTGAGCTGTGTAAGAGGAGGGCAGGGAGACTGTGTGAGTGCTACATGCCCCCTGGGTGGGGGTATCCTGCTCACAATATATGGGAAGGAAAGAGGCTTGTTCCCCTCTTTTGTTCTTGTTACTTTTGCTGTCTTCTGCCACCTTGGACTGTTGCCCCTGGGGCATGCCACACTGTCTTGATTAAAGACTAAAACCTCCATAAACTGTGAGCTAATAAACCTTTCTTGAATTTTGGGTGTTGGGTATTTTGTCTCAGCAATGAGAAAAAATTAACCAAGACAGAAGTGTTCCTGAAGTATTTGAATTGGTTCCTCTCAGCTGGTGAGATAGCTCATCAGACTTAAGTGCCTACTTAAGCAAGTGTAGGCAAGCACAGGGACTGGGGTTTCAAGCCCCAGCACAACATGCCTTACTGGCCCCACCACCAGGTGCACAGAGCTGGCTACCAAGTCCGGTGGGCATGGTGGCACACACCTGTAATCCCAGTGCTGGAGAGGCTGAAAACAGGAAGATCACTATGAGTCCAAGCTGCATAATGAGATGCTGTTCCAAACACAGAAAAGGAAGGGAAGGAAGGTTCCAAACACAGAAAAGGAAGGGAGGGAAGGGAAGGGAAGGGAAGGGAAGGGAAGGGAAGGGAAGGGAAGGGAAGGGAAGGGAAGGGAAGGAGGGGAAGGGAAAGCAGGGGAAAGGGGAAATGGGAAAAGGGGAAAAGGGAAAGGAGAAAGGAGGAAAGGAGAAAGGAGGAAAAGAGAAAGGAGAAAAGAAAAGAATTGGTTCCTCTCTACCCGCCTCAGTCCTGCTTCTTTAACTCTTACCACTTAAATGTCAGACCTACTGAGGAAGCCCTGTAATTATACCTTCTCTGTCATCTTACTCATCTCTTCTTTTTCTTTACCATCTAAGAGCTTTATTACCTTTATCTTGCCATTCTTCTATTTACTTTTTCCATTTGTACTTTCACATTTTTAATTTCTAGGAGCAGTTACTGGTTTCAAAATACTGCCATTTATTACTAAACATTGTTAGTTCATAACTGGATGTTTGAGGAAGACATGAAATATGAAATACAAGGATTTACACAACTTTGAATAAGGAGTTTGTCCAAGGAAAATGAAATATAGAGTATATATATATATATTTTTAAATCTTTCCAGATACTAAATATACACAGTGTGTGTGATATGGGGATGGAGCCCAGGGCCTGGTACATGCTAGCAAAGAGGGCATTCAGCCATTGACCTATACCTCTAGCCCTAATGGTAGATTTTTGTTATGTTGTTCTCTATAGTTTGTTTTCTCCAAATTGCTTTTTTTGTGTTTCAGTTTCTCCATTTTATATTACTTTTCTCAAATGTATGATGAGACTTTTTATGTATAAGAAGGGCTTAAAAGCTGACAAACTCTTGTTTTGTGGTAGAGCTTATTGATTTTATCTTCAGGTGACTTCTGTGTTGTTTTCTGGGAAACTACTGACACTCTTTACATTGTTTCTTTTGGGCTGCTCAAATTTCCAAAGATTCTTTGGCTGGAGGAATATGTAGAAAGTGCTGCCCATGTTTGGGGGAGAAAGTTTACAATCTTAATATTTAGTATATTTCCGTTTTGCCTTCATGTTTTCAAGGTCCTTATGTTTCTTCCTCTCAGATTGGATCGTAGGTGGATAGTTACCTACCCGCGTAAGTTTGGGGAAAAGACAGGTTTCTGGGGTTCCAGCTCTGTAAGCTTATCCCCCATTCCTTGTGTTTTATTCTGAGCTTTACCCTGCACGTTTCATGTACTTAATTTTACAGTTTGAGGGAGTTGCAGTGTGAGTCAGATTCCTTCTTGCCTTGCCTATTGTTGGGTTTTAGGATTCACTTTTCAGATTGACCGAGTCACCCTATTAGCAATCCTCATTTCCATTCATTTACCTTACACGGGGCCTGCCAGTTAGCTCAGTTGTTTAAGTGCCTGCTTATGCAAATGCAGTAAGGCACAGGATATGAGGTTTGAGGTTTGAGGTTCGAGGTTTGAGGTCAGTTGGATCCCTAGCTCCATATGTCTTACCAGACTTGCCCTTAAGGCACTGAGCCAGAAAAAAAAAAAAAAAAAAAATCCTTCCATTCATTTACCTTTACAAATAATGCTCAGAACAATGTGTGTGTGTAATTTTTGAAGAAAATTGATAGGTAAAGATTTTTACTCAGATCAGTGAAAAAGTAGTGTGTATATTAATAATTTTTCTTACATGTTCTTGTAGGCCCTGAGAGTGATGGCTAAAATTATGAGAGAATGTTGGTATGCTAATGGAGCGGCTAGGCTGACAGCTTTGCGGATTAAGAAGACACTGTCACAACTCAGTCAACAGGAAGGCATCAAAATGTAATTCTGCAGCTTTGCCTGAACTCTACTTTTTCTTCAGATCTGCTCCTGGGTTTTTGTTTGTGCGGCCAATTGTTCTACCTCACTGAGAGGGAACAGAAGGATATTGCTTCCTTTTGCAACAGTCTAATGAGGTCAAGTAAAAACTTCCCAGGATTGCTTTGGGCCCAGGAAACAGCCATCTGGGTTCTCTCTGTGCACTATGAACACTTCTTTCCCAGGACAGTTACAAAGTGTTGTATAGTCTACCTTTATTTTTTATTAACAAAACTTGTTTTTTAAAAAATGATTGCTCGTCTTAACTTTAGGTAACTCTGCTGTGATGAAAATCATCTTAAGGGCAAAGGAGCTGGACTGTTGAGTTATTTTTAAAGAAAGTGATTTACTCCTGGTTAGTAGTACATTCTCAGAGGATTCTGAACCACTAAAGAATTTTTTGATTCAGTGTTTGAATGTACTGTTCTATAATTTTTCAGGATCTTAAAACTAACTCTTATCTTGAGTCTAAAAAGGACCTCATATGGTAGTGAGGAACGTAATTTATGCAATCGTATTTTGTATACCATTATTGTTCTTTCATGTATTCAGAACATTACATGCCTTCAAAATGGGATTGTACTATACCAGTAAGTGCCACTTTGTGTCTTTCTAATGGAGATGAGTAGAATTGCTTGAAGTCTTTGTGTTAAAATCTGTAGTGTTTGAATTCAAAAAGTTTATTTATCTGAATAGCTCAAGCCTATTCTGTTTTTTGAAGAGGATTTTTGGTATGCCATTAATATTCCATTTTGAAAATGCCATTCTCCTACCAAAATGTGCTTGAACCACTAAATATGCTGTGGCATAAGCCAGTTGTTATCATGGTCATGTTGGAATATTCTTCTTCGAGCTTTTAGAATTCAGTTGTGTTGTCTGAGTATCTTTTAAAAAGTCAAGTGGCACTCTAGATGCTTACAGTGCTTTAATAAGTTAACATTTCTAGCACACGGGCTAATTTTTCTATAAGGGAAAGTTTGTCTAGCTGCTTGTGAAAAGTTATGTGGTATTCTGTAAGCCATTTTTTTCTTTATGATCAATGACAGTGTTATTTTTTTAAGAAATAAATTGCATTTAAAATAGAATATGGTTAATGTAAAGTAATAGGCCTTTTATTTAGAGAGGCAAAGGTAGTTAATAATTCAAATAGAGAACAGATGTGTGTGACAGTCACACTTGTTATGTAGGTGTAAGTGTCCGTGGGTTCTCAGTCTTTGTAAGGTTAACAGTGTAGTTTTGAGGTCTCGCTACACTCTGAGGAAGGCAGCTTTTAATTCAGTCTTTCCTTATCTCCTATGTGCAGACACTGCAACTGCTTAATTTACACGGTTGCACAATGAATTGAGTGCACTCTGTATGGGGAGAGGTGGTAACTAGAGAATAGTCTGTATATAGGTTCTCCATCTACCGATGTTTGCAGTCATATGTTTAAAATAAATTTGTCACAGTCTTCTCACGTCAAGCTAAACCTATCTTACCATTACTGGTTTTTAGAAGTCTCCAGGACTTTTACAATTTTCAAAGTCCTTTTTATCACTGTGATCTTACTCTGAAAAGGAAAACCATCCTAGCTGAGAGATAAGACTTTGACTTCCTAGTGCTATCATTTCCCTGATAAAAGGGTCAGAATAACCTTTACAGTATCTTGGTCAGAAGAAATTGCGGCCATTTATACTGAATGAGTTGCATTCTGATAATGTCTTATATCTTATACATAGAATAAATTTGAAAGACTACTTGGTCTTAAAACCAAAGTAATTCTAGAAGGAATGACATATTACATAGGAATCTAGTATCAATTTTATGTGCTTAAAAACATCATGGGGAAAATGTTCTTAGAGGCTAATATTTTGACTACAGTTTTTTTCCGTAGTTATCATGATTGCATTGAAGCAAATAAATGTTTGAAAGGTTTGTTTTTATAGTTGTGTTGTATTACCTGTTTGATAATCTTGTTCTGTAATCAGGTACTTTTGGGGAGCATTTCTTAAGCCTACAAGATCTGCTTTATGAAATCCAGGGGACCAATGCATTTTATCACTAGAACTATTTTTATATAATTTTAAAAACATACCAAAAGTCGTCTGATTTAAAGTTGTAATACATGATTTCTCACTTTCATATAAGGTCATCAACTTTTGCTAAAGATAATTCTCATTACATCAAAGATTGAGTTGTAGTTACACTATTCTTGCCTAAGTTGATAAAATGTACTTTTTATGAATCAGGGAATTTTTTAAAGTTGAAATATAGTTCTAAATTGAGTTTATGTATTAGTGTATCTAATTCCTCTGTTGGCTAGGGACAGCTTTGTTGAACCCCAGTTTTTAACATTGAAAATGAAAGTTATTTGAAGATGAAAAGCTCATGGTTACTGTGGCTATAGCTACAGATAAATTTGACTGGAGTATCACTTTATCATTTAGAAACATAGTCCTTTGTTTCTGTTGCCCATCCTAACATGCTCACCTTCAAAGATTTATTAGCGTGACAAAGACACGTCCTCTGGCACATCAAATTGTCAACACCCCAAAAGAGTGAGAGTAGGGTGAGTAGGACTTCTTGGGGCATAGATCTCCCTGGCCCTGCCCTCATGTCTTCAGCTCTGTTTTTCCTGACCTACCTTCCTGCTGCTGGCCCCTGTCTCAGATACCCTTGCCTCCTGTCCCCAGCCTTTTGACCGAAGAGTTGCTTTTCAGACCCTGAGTAAAATGGCTGATGGAACTTACAGGAAATACTTCCATTTCCTCGACTTGTTGGGTGTGTCGGGGAGAGGTCTCCAAGTATGGAGGTGAGGCTTGGGATGCTCCTGCTGGTTACCCTGCTCTGACTTTAGCATAAACAAGAAGTAGGGTGGCAGGTATGACAGTGGAAATTGTGCCAAAAGCAGTAGCCAGTTGTGTGCCCTGTGGGACAGTCAGGCCTGAAATGCTGAACCTGTAATTCTGCTGTAACAATAATGCTCAAGAAGCGCCTTGAATTGGTGTAGAGCGCCGTGGCCATCAAGAATTTCAAATTTCAGCCATTACACCTCGCTTTTAAGTGCTCATTCAACCAGTTGCTGTGTTGATGAACTACTTTTTTTCTCTATGTCTGAGACTTGTCAGATTTATACTGTTCTAAAACAAGTGACAAAGTGCTAGCACATGTAAGAATCGGTATTGTATTAAACATATCAGACTTACTTTTTCCCCCCATGCACTGAAGGAATGATTGTAAATCACCTGTTTCCTGTTTCTTGATTGTGGCAGTGGCTATAAATGATGGAGATTCTAAATAATGGTTCTGTGACAGCTCAGCAGTAAAATACTCTATTATTTTGAGATCCTAAAGAATAGCACTGAACAGGTACTGCAATCCATATTGGAATGCTGGATTTCTAAGATGTTAGGATTGCCAGTATGTTAATTTTAATCTCATTATGCAATCTGATTTGTAAATGTAAACTTTCTAAAAAATATATGGTTAATACCATTCAGCCAGTTTCTTAAAACTTTAAAAGAACTTCAGTGAATTTGTTTTTATTTTTCATAAGATTTTTGTGAATTGAATATCATGAACCATGTTTTGATACCCCCTTTTCACAGTGTGACAATGGAATGGGGTGTTTGATATTTCTTTATATGTCAAGGAGATGCTTCAAAATGTCAATTGCTTTAAACTTAAATTACCTCTCAAGAGACCAAGGTACATTTACCTCATTGTGTATATAATGTTTAATATTTGTCAGAGCATTCTCCAGGTTTGCAGTTTTATTTCTATAAAGTATGGGTATTATGTTGCTAAGTTACCCAAATGGTACTGTACTGTTTATATTGTTCCCCAAATAACATCATCTGTACTTTTTTGTTTTCTGTGTTTTATTGTATTTGTGCAAAATTCTTTTGACTTTATCAGTGTAATTTCTGCCCTTTCAGATATGTACAGAAAATGTCCCATATAAATTTTTCACTTGTGTTGAATTATTATTATTATTTTTTTGCGGTACCAGGGATCAAACTCAGGACCTGCGCTTGCCAGGCAGGTGTTTGTGCCACTGAGCTATATCCCTGGCCCTTGAATGATTTTAAGAAGCCTGTAAAGGAAAAAACAAACAAACAAAAATAAAAACCATAAATTGCGTTTCCCCATAAGTTTTAAAAAAATTGTATATTGTATTTGTAATAATATTTCAAATGGACTGTAAATAGGAAATAGGAGAGTGATGTTTATGTTAAGTCCTAACACTACAGTAGAAAAATGGAAGCAATGCAAATAAATTACTTTTTTTCCCAAGTGCCAGTGATTCCATTCTTTTCTGGAGGCTTAGGGTGAGTAAGCCTCTAACCTCGGATTGTTGGCCGACTTCGTTCAGTTCTGGGAGCTTGTAGGACTGAGGTGTCTGGTTCCTTGCTGGTTGTTGGTTAGGGCTCACCCTGGTTTTCTGGAAGCTGCACACAGTCCCTGGCGCATGCATCCTTTTCCTTCATGAAAGCCAGCCACAGCTGGTCGAGTTCTCACATGCCTTTTTGCTGCATATCTCTTCTACTTCTCTTCCACTGCATCTCTCTCTGCAGCTTCTTTGCTGTTCCACTGTGAAGGGAGCTCCTGTGATTATTTTAGGCCCTTTGGGATAATCCAGGATAATACCCAAGTGAGCACCTTCACTTCTCACCTGTGCACTCCCTTCACCACTGTGCCGAGATTAGTGTTTGATCAATCATCATGTGTTCTTGGTATTAATTGTTGAGTTTACAACATAAACCTGGTATAAAGTAGTGGCTTGAAATCTAAGGAGGGAATTAGTCTCTAAGTGTTCCCCTAGGATACCATGTAGTCAGTTCTTGCATTTTTATCCATTCTGAATAAATTTCTAAGCTCATTAAAATCCTGGATATTTCTGAAAGGGGCTATCCAACAGAGCTATACCCTATTAAAATTACATTGGCCTTTGTCTGAAGAATATGATAAATTGAGATGCATATTACTACAGCCTGTAAAGCAGCCACTAAAATAATCACTTAAAATATGCTTGAAATTCACTAATATTTAACATAAGAGGTAGAAAGGGATGGAGAAGCAAAAAAGACTTGAAAATTTAGAAGTATTTGCAAAGTATCAGCCATAAATTAATCATACCAGTAATTTCATTAAATGTGAATGAACTGAACATTTCAATGAAATTGTCAGAATAGATAAAAAGTAAGAATCGGCTGTATGGTGGCACAGAGGCACTTTAACATGCATAGCTTGAAAGTATGGGACAACACAGCATGAACAGTACCCATGAGAGACCTGGAATTGCTGTATTCATAGCAAAGTGAGCTTTGAGAAAAAATACGAGGAATAGAGCAGTATATTTTACAGGATAAAGGATCAATATCAGAGAAGTACAACAGTTACATATGCACTCAACAGAACCTAAAACATACATGAAGAAAGTATCTAAAATAAATGGACAGTCCAACAATATTTGGAGATTTCAGAGCTGTGCTCCCAGGAATTGATAGGACAATTGATGGAATCACTGAGTGCGTTAGAGAGTGCTGTCAGCTAGTTTGTCCTGACATTTATGGAACACCACTCACTATAGCCAAACATACTTTTTCCACTATGTGTGGATTATTCTCCAGGGAAGACAATGCCATGTAATAGTGCATGTCTCAGAATTTAAAAGGATTGAAGTAATATGTTCTTGAGTCACACTGAATAGTTATAAATCAACATACTCTTATCCATATACTGACAAAATCTTGATGGAAAATTAGAAAACTTTTATTTGCTTAAGATAGGGTCTTGTTACGTT